TGTGCAGCACCCCCCCGCAGGACCAGCACCATGCCCCCACGGGACCGGCATCACCCCGTCGCTCCGCAGCATCCACGTGACAGACGGACGCGGTCCAGCCACCCACGGTCCCCAGGGAGGCCAACCCGCCTGGCTGGGGTGGGGGGGCCGGCAATGATGGATACAGAGCCATGACCCCCCAAAAACCCCCTATTTTAGAGGATGGTGCTGCAAATGGTGCTGCAACCTGGAAGATGAGGAGAAGAAGAAAGGTCTCGTGGGGCATCCGGTGACCACGCAGGGTGGGACCGCCGGGGTCTTGCCTGTTTTTGGGAGGGGAGGGAGGCGCTGGGTGGCAGGAGGGCAGGATTAGGGGTCAGACGTACTCCCGAGCCGTCGAAGGCTGCGACTGCCGGTAGTACTGCTGTCCTCGCCGGTCCTTGGCAGGGCAGGAGCAGCACAGGAGGGAGCCCCCCAGCAGCGTGAGGCTGGCGGCCCCCCAGCCGATGAAGAGAGCCGAGCCGAATTCGTACCTACGGCAATAAACAGAGGAGAGCATCGGGGGGAAGGCAGCAAAGGCAGAGGTGCAAACTGAGGTGGGCACAAGGATGCTCAAAGCCCTGACGAGGCTACAGGTGATGTTGAAGCAAATGCTGGATCTTCTTCTCTCCGGCCATCCCCACCTTTCACGTTGGCCAGATCTAGCTACTAGGCTTCCCCCCACTTCAATTGTCCCTTGGGCTGAAACTCCATGTGAACGCTCGTACTCTGTCCCAGCGCAAAGTCGGTGGTGGTACCAACTAAAGCTTTAGCATCGGGGAGATCTTCTGCAATATGGCCGCTGTGGGGTGGCATAGGTCCCACCCCGTGTGGCACATCTGCCTACGACCCTGCACGCTGCCAAAACCGGCAAGGGAAGGTCCTGTGGGAAGCACAGGGACAATCTGGGATTCAAATAAATAGCATCCCCTGAGCCGGGCTCTTACCTGGCATTGATGGGGACCGTGCTTTTTTCGAAGAACTTGTAGGTCACATGTGTTGCGTACAAGGACACGGCAGCCAACGTGCACAGACCTGGACGTAGAATCATAGAATGGTTGGGTTGGAAGAGACCTTTACACGTTAACTCGTCCAACCCTCCCCCCACAATGAGCAGGGACAACTTGAACTAGACATCAAATGTTGAACAGCAGCAACACCCAGTCCATCACCAAACCTTTCCCCTTCCTCCAGCAAACAGCTTTTAAAAGGTGTTTTGAGGTCTCCTGTATGAGAGAGATGCAAAGGGTGGAGCTGCCTTACCGGAGAGGACGAAGAGGACACCTCCAGCAACAGCGATGCGGCTCTTGGTAACGGGATCCTCTTCCCCAACTTTGGTGCATTTCATGCCCACCACGCTCACGATGATGCCGAAGAAGCCCAGGAGGAGGGAAATCACCATGAGAGCCCGGGAGGTCTGCATGTAAGCTGCAAGGCGGGGGCAGGGGGAAGAAAAGCCACTCGCCAGCATGTGCTTTCAGCCAAAGCCGGTCTCCGAAAGCAAGGTCACCTCGTCCCACGCTGGGGATGAACCTGTCCTTAACCCTGTTCTCGCTGCATGGCTCCCGTGTCACTTCTTCCCCGCATGGCTGATGGGGAGACCTCAGCCTCAACCCAAGGCACCGCTCCCAATCCCTTCCCTGACCTTCCTCCCTGCCGCACTCATCCTCGCCATGATTTCCAGGGCTGGGAAACACCTTGCCCACAGCAGCACCCCAGTCCCCAAATGC